GCTGTCCACAGCAACATGTTTTCTATGGTCCTGTTTGGTTGTGGTCAAAGTCAAAATTTCTTTGCTCCACAGTACCCTAGTGTCATGATGCAGTCGCTCCTATAAATAGCACAAACAGCACACATATGTATCATTTAACGAGCCATGGCAAAAACGAAGCTGGAAAAGGGGCTGGCAGAACAATAATATACTTACTTTATATGCAGGGCTTATTTTCAAGCCTAAGTTGTTCCAAGATGGTAACTCAACAGACTCTCATGCCCCACGTGATGGAGTTAACAGACAAGCCTGTTAAACACAGAGCATGTAGACCTTCTCCTCTTTTCCAGGACTGGGCTCAAGTGTTCACCAGGCTGTTGTTGTGTTTTAGGTGAAGGTAAATGGTATCCAGATGAATGCCCCGCTCACGCTGCAAAATGGAAAGATCAGGATTTACAACTATGGCTGGGCTTTGGAAGTCAGCACCAACTTCGGCCTGTCCGTCTATTACAATGGTTACAGTTACGCTCATGTTCAACTTCCATACAGCTACCGTGGTGCCACCTGTGGTTTATGTGGCAACTTCAATGGCGATTGGTATGACGATTTCACCTCCTCAACAGGAACGCTGGAATATTCTCCTTCGGCCTTTGCAGAGAGCTGGAAAACTCATGGAGACAGTGACGCAGGCTGCCACGATCTGTGTTCCGGGCAGGATTGTGGAGTGTGTCCAGAGAACGAAACTGCTATTTACTCAGACTTGGCCCACTGTGGCATGATTGAAGACCCCCAGGGCCCGTTCAGTGTCTGCCACTCTGTGGTGCCACCCGGCAACTTTACACACAGCTGCATGTTTGACCTGTGCGTGGGGGGAGGGTACCAGCCCATCTTGTGCCAGGCTCTGGAGGTCTACGCCACAGCGTGTCAGAATGCAGGTGTTCAGCCTGGGCCGTGGAGGAGAAAGGGCTTCTGTGGTAAGATCTGCTTTAAGAGAAATGTCTGTTTATCTCTATGAAAATCCCCAATCATTTGTCAACACCTAGAAACTAGGTATATTGCACATGTCTAGGAGACATAAACATAATGCATCCTGTCTGAAATTCACAAGACTTGCTACTTTCATGTCATTTCATGGTCATATCTTTCAAGTTCAAATGAGAAGTTAGAGCTCATTCAATATATCCTGGCTCTATGAAAACCAGATAAGAGCAACTGTAAAGGTGTAAATGAAGATCTTGCAGACAGAGCTGACAATTTCTTTTTCTACATACAGTAGGTCAGTAGACGACACTTTTCTCCTTCACTTCCTGCTGAGGATGTTAGTAAACACTGACTGACAGACGAGAACAGTTGGCTGCATAAGATTTAAAAGAATTCATTATACTAACTGCATTGTGATTAAACTTTTAACATATTAAGGTCTTTATCCTTGGGTGCAGGTATCATTTGCCTCTTTGTATAGGATGTAAATCAGATGTATTATGTCTGAGCGAGATGACTCATGTGGAAAGCGATCAGAAAGGTTGTGGCTGGACTGAAATCTAATACTGATCTTCAAATCCCTTTCCCAGGAATCCACTGCCCCGCCAACACCCACTACGAGCCCCGTGCCAGTGGCTGCGTTGCCACCTGCACCGAGCCCCTGGCCGCCGCCGGCTGCCCCCTGCCCTCGCAGGAGAGGTGCGTGTGCGATGAGGGGCTGCTGCTGAGTGCTGGCACCTGTGTGAATGCCAGTGGCTGTGGCTGCTCCTTCGAGGGCCTGTACTACGCCGAGGGCCAGACGGTGCTGCTGGACGAGGACTGCGGCCGGCTCTGCAGCTGCCGCGGCGCCGTCATGCGCTGCCAGAGGCACGTCTGTGGCGAGCAGGAGATCTGCAGCAAGCAGGACGGGGTGCGGGGCTGCTTCCCCCAGAGCTACGGGACGTGCTGGGTGGAGGGGTCCATGCTGTACCGCACCTTCGACGGGCTGGCGTTCCAGTACCC